CTTCCCTGCAGCCAAGAGCATCTCTGTGAGCCTCAGCTTAACGCGGGAGCCCTGGTGCCAGTGACCTGCGTATAAAAGTATAAAAGTGTAGAAGAGCAGCGGTCAACAGAGCAAGAGCATGGCCAGGTCTTGAAGATAGAAGTGCCCAAATCCTACCCATTGCAAGGCCAGGAACCCAACACCCAACGTAGTCTGCCACAAAATCAGCCCTATGTTGTGCTGGCCTTGTCCGGATATTCACCCATCTTTTATTTCTGGTCATGTCCACTTGGCATCTGGAAATTCAAGTCTTGCTTTTCTACTTGCTACCAGAAATATATGTGTCTTACTGGTGTGTTAAATGAAATTTTCTGCTGTGTCTTAGAACACAATTTCTGCAGATTTTAATAAAGCCACCTGACATTCTGCAGGAATTAAAGTGTGAAAAAGATCTGCAAATCTCACAAGTATAAGCATAAACATAACTGGACTCAGGCCAGAGCAAGTTGAGCTCCTGCAGTGGTAAAGGAAACTGCGAGCACCTTGGCCTCTCTTCCTTGCCTGTGCATTTTTTGGTTATTGCATATCAGATATACTGCCTCTTCCAAAGCATTATGTATTTAAAAAAAGAGGAAGCAGTTTCTGATGATACATCTGGGTCTGTACCTGTAACTCTGTTTTTTGGTAAACTTTATGGGTTTAATAGACTTGGAAGTTGGTAGGGGCCACATGCTCTAAAATTCAGTGTTCGCTGCTTTTAAATTTGATTGCACATTCCTGAGTTACTTCACTTTTTATATGGCTCTGGGTTTATGCCTGATAAACGCAGTTCTTCAAGGATCTCACAAATGCCGTTGCATATAACCTTGTGCCAAAATTATTAACAGGCTGATTCTTTGAAAAGCATAGGAGATCATTTATATTCTGAGAAAAATAAGCTTAAAGAAAAGTGTGGGAAAATTATTGCCTTGGTTTTCTACAGCACGAAGTTATCTATATCCTCAAACCACTAAACAAAAACAGCTTTTATGGAAAAAAAAGGTTAACAAAATGCTTGAAACATATGAAGCCACTAAATTATGAAAATAAAAGATCCAAATTATAAAATGCAAAACTTGCCATGATGGCAGTATATATTTTCTGTTAAGTACACCACTTTAAGTTTAATTTACTATTGTTTTCTACTTTTTTAAACTATTCTGAAATGTAGAGATCTGCCAAAATTTTAGAACAAAACTGATTTTCATACGAAAAGCATTTTGGAGCATGTCCAGGGGGAGAACGAGGGTGTGTACGGGGGCGGGGGGAGGAGATCTTCTCGCCCCCGCCATCCCCCCAGCGCAGTTCGTGAATTACGTTTTGGCAAATGCAGCCTGCCGACACCACCAAAGAACTTCAGAAATGTTCCAGCTCTAAAAACAGAAGGGAAAATGCTTTTTATAAACCAAACGGAGAGGAGCAAATCAATCTACAGAACGTCAACATTGGCTTGAACTTTGATTTGAACTGAAAATAAACACGTTTTCAGGTTTAAATAAGTATTGTTTCTCCCTTTCCTTGACCTTTAACTGGCCTCCTTTTCTTGATACTCTGTGAAATGCATCTCAGGATCTCAGCAGCGACAGCTTGTCCTTGGCTGGCTGCTTCCTCGGAGCTGCTGGGCTTGAGGGATCCCCCCGTTCCAAGGACCTCTGACTCCCGCGTCTCCCGAGTGTTTGAGGCTTGGTGAGAAGAGTCATTCCAGACACGATGAAAGTCCAGGCACGTTTGAAACATGGACTTTTAGGGGATTCATTCAGAGTTTAATTATGGAGATGCAGGAGGTTATTGGAAGGCAGCGTCAAGGCCATTTGGATGAGTTACAGGGAAGAAATGACAAGGCTGGGATTTACAGAAGGCAGAAATGAAAGGGCTCCAGATGGAAGTCGCCGATGCCCTTGCTGGTCATGAAATCAGATGAGGCATCTGGGAGGTCTGATTAAAGAGGGAGATGGGATTCTTGTAGAACTGTGCTCATTCCGGCTCTACAAGTAAATATCTTTGCTCCCACTTTTTATGGCTTTGCAAGTAAGCAAAGCAGATGCCTGGGGACACAGGCTACTATTGGAAGAGGGTGGATAGGAATAGGCAGAGGATGGCAAAATGTTTGGAATGCTGCAGCCTTTCTGGCATATGCTCATTTCCCAATCCTGGAGACTGACATTTCAGGAGAAGCAATAAGGAGTGAGTGATGGTTAGTGCTGGAGAAGAGGCTGCTCTCCCTCCATGCATCCAGCTGCTGGGACAGTTCCAGGTCTGACACTCCCCAGGCTTCTTGCCCAGCTTTTATTCCTTCTGCAGTTCCCTGTTGCAAGGACAGGAGTGAGTGGGCATTTTGGAAAAACAAACCAGAGTTTTGCCTGCAGTGCTGGAAAGCCAAAAGGTGTCTGCCCGTTTGCTGCAGAGTCTGTACTGCCTCGTGGGACGTCGACGTGGTGAGAGGGAGCACCATCTTTGTGAAGATCTTAGGGAATGTCTTGCAAAGACGCAGGCAGCAAGCGGTGCTCAGTGCTAGGAGTCTCAGGACGGTTTGTGAAAGGTCTGGCAAGAGGCAGAAATCTCTGGGAGGAAGCAAACAGGGACTATAGGGCAGGTTGGCACAAAGGAGTTCACCGCTGCCCTGGCTGACCTGCCGTGTAGCAGGCTCTACCACTCCACGCCTTTTATTTTATTATTATTATTTCTTCTTACTGGATGTCATAACTCTACCATGCCCCAGTTGTGCTGTGATTGGGTGCGCGTGGATGAGATCAGCCACGTTTGGTTTCTCAGGTTAGACATCCCGTTGTAATAAACTTCATTAGTAAATATTAAACGCACAGCAGGAAGTAGGCCCATGCACCCAGCCACACTTTCCTGTACCTTATTTTCTGTAAATTTTCCACCTTTTCTCCTCATGGGTGCTCACTGTTCCTTCCAATGCACATGCAGATAAGTGCATGTCCAAGCGCACCCAGCCGCACTCTCCTGTACCTTATCTTCTGTAATTTTTCCACCTTTTCTCCTCATGAGTGCTCACTGTTCCTTCCAGTGCACATGCAGATAAGTGCATGTCCAAGCAAGCCTTCTTTCTCTTTCTTATGAATTTTGTTCCTATTCTTTTGAGTCTACCCAGCTACTTCTGACCTATCCATCCTTTGATTTTGGTGGCTCTTTTCATGTGCAGCAGTGTTTGTCTTGCCTTAGTTTCTGGCCCACTTGTACCTGTTGCTGCCTTTGTAAACCCCTAAGATCCTAGCACAGACTGTCATTTTCAGCATTATCTTCTAGTCCAACCACCTTTTCACAGTTTGGGACTATCTCTGTGATCTCAGTTGCTACTTGACATTCACTAATCTAATGAATAATAACTTTTGTCGGTTTGTTGGTGCAGACATGCACAGTCACATAATTCTGTATCCATGACTCCTTGACACATTAGGACTTATATTTGAGGAGATGTTCCCAATTACAATAGCACTTGCTTTTGATACAGTAATGAAACACTTCTCATAGAGAATATTGGTATTTACCAACCACTGATTATTAATAATGATAGCGCAAGGCTCTAATCCTAGAGATATAAGAACTTGACAGTTTTTATAAGTAATAGCTTTGATTCAAGAAAGTAATGGGTATTTTATATTTGATTTTTTTTAAAAAAAGTCAAAGATCATTTTTAAATCCAGCAAAGATGATACTTAAATTTATACAATGCTTTAAATCAATAACTATATACTATGTTACAGAACTACCACTGATTTTTTCATAGAACATAATTGATGGCAGCTAGGGTAGGATCCTTCTTTACCTTCTGAAGTGCATAGCTTTACCATGGAATAAACAGACAGCTCCCTACATGAATAATCATTAAGAAGTGTTCTCTTACTTAGGCTATGATCTGTTTTTTTTTTGCCTTTAATTTACCTGTAAAGTGAGATAAGGAGTTTGAAATATATGTTTGTTTCCATTAAGAAACCCACGTGTTAATTACAGCTAGATTTTTGCAACTCTCTGGAGTCTAGGATGATCTTACAGACAACAGTCACCTCTTCAGAGCCGTAAGCAGTAGTGCATATATGTGTTTTCATGTACTTGATGGATTCAAACCCACCATCAGTATATTTATTTGAAGGATAACTGAATCATAATTTTCAGGTCAGCAACTCATATTATGCCTGTTAAACTGTTCTGAATTATGCATTCACATCCATATTATTTCCCTGTGACATACGTTAACTGCACAGTGTCTGCCGTGTGAGAACGAATGTCTGGAGGGATAAGTTCCCCGTGTCGGATGTTTGACAACATAGGTGACTGCTTATCAATCTTAATAAGTACCACGGAGTTTTTCAAGGGTAGAGGGTAACACACATAAATAAAATAAAATATCTTTGCTGTTTCTTTATACTTGTGTTCAAAGTTTTGGTGGAAAAAAATTCACTGAATGCTAATGTGAGTGACACATAGCAGAAAACTTGAAGCAGAAGCTGTGTATCAGTGTTTTTCTGAAAATTAAAGTGGGAGATGTAATGCTGTTCTTCATTATGTAATAGATTCTAAAGGTGCAATGGCAGCAGCACCATTTTATGAGTATCAAATAGCCAAAGAAATAATGGACTGTTTGCAAAATTTTTGTAAGATTTTTACCTGCCTTTTTGCCTTGTCTTACCATTAAAATGGTGATAAGACAACACATGTATACATGACAGAAGTCCTTTAATTAACCTATTGGCTCGAGTTGCACAGAATTTTTGTCCAAAGCTATTCTTTTGTGAAATCATTTTCCCCAAAACAGTTACAATTAAGAAGATGAATTAAAAAAACAGTATGTGTGTACTACAGAAGTGGTACAAACACGCTGAGAGCTTCCCCATTTGGCATCTCCTACAACCCTTTCTTCCTCTGCTGCTGAGATGTGCACAGGTCTCCTTATCCCCTTCCCCATTTTGGGTCGGAATATCCTGCTTTTTTCTCTGGTAGTAGTGTTTCCTCTCTTCAAGGTGGTGACGATTCTCCATTCTCAGACTCAGTTACACTGGAACAAACTACAAGTAATATTGGAGTCTCCAGCGGACGTGTCAGCCTGTGGATGCAGTGGATGTTGCCAAAAATTACTATAAAACTGTTTGCTCCTGATCCTAGAAATAATGGCACAGGTATTCAGCGTAATTTTTCCATTTTAAATTCTATGCCTTATTTTAAAGCAGAATATTGGCTATTCAGAGCATTTATTGATAATATTAACATTGTATAATACAAAAATGTGCATCGGATCTATGTTTTAGCCTACCACAATAAGCTCTGGTTAATGCATATAATTAGAATTCAATATTGTTCTTTGGCAAACACTTTCTCCACCATGTGGAATAATGATTATATTAAACTGGAAATGTGGTTGCATGTGGTTAAAGCTAATTTGCAAAGAAACTTGAACCTTTGATATGAAAATAATTATATGAAAGAAGAAATCTAACATGTTAGAGTAACTATGTTGGCAAATCTTTTTATTCTTTATAAGAATTTTTTATTCTTTGTAGGAATTTTGTTCTGAAAACCTCATAAATGTCTTACATTATACGCACTTGTATGAAAAGTTTTGGATTGTAGCTTTTTTTCTTTTTTTTTTTTTCTTTTTTTTTTTTCTTTTGCCAGTTCCTGTCTGTGACAGCTAGACCAGTGTGTGGAATATGAAAAAAAAAAGAAAAGAAAAAGAATAGAAACAGCATCATCCTATTTACAAAGGATAGTGGGCCAGATATTGTATACATTTGTAGATTTTAGACTGATAACTTATCATTTTAATTTTCTTTGACTGTTAACAGAAGTTTGTGTCGTCAGTGAATTAGAAGATCTCAGTGCCTCAGTGGATGTACAGGACGTGTATACCAAAATCAAATGTAAAATAGAAAGCTTCAATATTGATCATTACAGAAACAGGTAATTCCCAGGGGCTATACTTCTTTCTTTCCTGGCTGGAAGAAGACAGCAATAGTTTGTTCCTTAATTCTTAGCTTAAAATTAAAGGAGTTGTTGAATTTATATGAAATGGGATGGATTTAAATTTTTTTGGTAATAAACACTGGAACTGCAGTTTCTCAATACTAAATCTGATTCTAAAGAAAAATATTAAAGTATTTCATGTAAAGAGCGCTTCTTTTTTGCATTATTGCTCTGTTGGTTTGTTAGAAAAAGTCATTTCTGTAGCTGAAATTTTGAGGGGGAACTACCTTAAATACTGTTTCATAATACATTTAACTCTAACAAGTGGGTAATGTTTAGTTTTTTATGGTGCCATCCTCTTCGATATTGTAAAGAAGTGTCTATCAGTAGAGCAATTTCTTTTGCTGCAGCTTAGCAACACAGTAATGCAGGGACCTGAGCTGGGTGGCAGTGTCCATGTGGCACAGCAGAGTGTTGTGCAGAAACGCCTGCCTAAAATCTCTGTGATTAAACTCTACCTGTATGTCATCCGTTTAGGCTAGGTAGATCGTCATACTGTTCATCCTATGTCCTAACAAGTTAAAGAGAGTGCTAGATTATTGTATGTCATTACAGCTCGTCAAATTCTGTTTAGGAAAAGAGAAATTAAGGGAAAATATGATAGCTGAGAAAGAGAGAGAAGTTTTTGCAAAAGAAGTTTTAGAATATTCTATCAACATTGAAAATGAATAAAATATTTAGACACTCAAACCATGTTCACTTATGAGCCTGTGCTAGTAAAGCTTTATTCAACATTTATTATTGTTCTCTATGTGCAATAGGAAGGAGTTTCAGTATCAGCTCAAGTTGCCAACAGTTCTAAGAATTTTTTCCTAATTAACAGCCTAAAACAAAAAAGTAACATTTCTTTTGTCAGATTTACAAATACAGTTATAGTTTGAAAACATTGTGATATTGGACAGTTGAACTTTGTAACTTATTTTTAAGGTCTTAAAAATCAAATCATGGTGCTTTAAAATTCAGTGGAATCCCAATAGCTAGTTGATGTTAACAGGCTGCTTTCTGCACAGATGCAGTGTAAAACTTCAGAGACAGAGCTTCCTTCCTAGGAACCCAGTGCTCCCTTGAAAATACTGTTAGTTTATTTGCTAAAACATATAAACATGTACATATATACATATATATATACACACCTACATATATATCCGTGTATTTAGGTGTGCATATACACATGTATGCCTGTATGTGTATTTATATGTAGGTGTATGCATATGTTTGTGTACGTATACCCAAACACACACACACACACGGCAAAGTTTTCATTTGCATCTACATTTCTTAATCTCTTCAGAGTGCAGTTCTCTTGGTTTGCATTTCTGTGGGCTAAAGCAAAAAGCAGAGAACAGATAAGGTGAACATTCTGTCTTCCAGGCCAGGGGGAGACTGGCAGCCAGGACATTTTGAAGGAATATTGCTGCAATGCAAAGAAAAACTTTTGGTGAGATTTCTTTAGGAAACTAAGATGCTTAACTGAATAACTCTTCTTAAACAATGTATGTTCCTTTATTCTTGGAAATTTTAGAAGGAATGGTTACAAGAATTGCAGTACACTTTAATTCTTTCAAACTCACTTTTTTTTCTCTCAGGAAGTCCTGCTATTTTGTAATGTATTTGAGTACACTTCTTCTTTCGCAATTTCTTGGTTCTTGTAATCATTCTTCTCCATTCTAAAAAATCCAGGAGAAAGTCTGCTTTGCTATATGGACGATTTTATTAGACTTTAATTCCACATTATTTGACCTCTTGCTGGGTTGTCCTTTCACATAAATTAAAATTTTACAAAATTTCACTTTTTTTAAAATCTATTTTTTGTCTTAATGTGATTGAATTTTGGCATTGTAGAAGAAGGTACGACACAAGCTTCATCATGCAGTTATATATAACTCTGCAAAATGAATGTAAATATATATTTTTTTGCTTATGGCAACTTTTTGTTTGTTTGTTTTTCCTCTTCTATGCTTCATTCATAACCTCAAGCCTCGGAGAAGACTCTTGGTCTCTGGGGCAATACGGAGGTGTTTTCCTTTCCTGTACTGACAAGCTGAACAGACGTACCTTGTTGGTTCGACCCATGAGCAAGCAGGACCCTTTCAGTAATATCTCTGGCTTCTTTCCTTCTGTAAGAATCTTTTTTAAATTGTTGCTACAGCACTTCCACTAAGAAACTAGGAAATTTAGAGCAAAAAAGAAAAAAAGAAACCCTCACATATCTTTCACCTCTGGTTATATAAATTGTGTCTGTAGTGAATATCTTGATTGCACATATTGTATTACTTGTGTTTTTCCCTCATTTCCTTTAATAATAATTCCCAGTTCTTTTTGGCTGCATAACAGTGCCCACTGAAGTCAAGAACCTTTTATTCATATGAAAACTGGGCACTTGTGGCACTGGGCACCAAATATGGAAGAGTAGGTGCATTTTGTGCATGAACATTTTGGTTATGTAATTCTGATGTCTACCCAGGAATTTAATTATTTTGTGTTATTGAGGCAGAACTTAATGAAACCTTTTACAGTTGCTTTATATAATTTTGATAATGCAGCAATCAGCAAATGCATATTTTGCATTTTGATTTGAATTTTTGCATCATTACTTCAGAATATCTCATTGTGAGATATTTAACTTATTTTTTTTCCTTGCCCTTTTTATTTGGAAAATGGATTATATTATTATGTCATTAGGCCCTTCACAAACAAGAGCAACTGTGTAGAATCTTTTTGTGCTAGTGGAAGTTCTGTATGTTGTGATTTATTATCATAATGAATATTGATTAGGAAATACTTTCTCTTATTCCAGTGCTTTATTTCTTATAAGCAGAAAATCTAACTTACTAATTTATTTTAATTTACTTAATCAAAAAACTTTAATTTGTTCAGCATTTAAGCTTTATATTCTATTTATTTAAGAAAGAGATGTTCTATTAATGAAGTTTAAATTGCATTAAATTATTTTTAAATCAAATTTCAAGATGCTACAGGAAGCATGTTTGCAAAGTATCATTTTTATTTGTGCTTAAGTGATTAAAGAAAAATATTTGAACAATCATAAAGTGTTCTTATTAAAATGTTTCCTAAATTATGAAAATAGTCTCTTCTTCCTAGGCAGTGTTCTTTTTAATATTTTTCACTCACAAATAGTATAACACTGAAATATCCGGAAAACTTTCAAAGATAAACCGAGAACTGTAATATATATCTTTTGGAAGCCAAACATCTAATTGTTGTGTCTATCTAGGAAATCTTTCTTGCTAACTGAAAAAAATATATATTCTTTAAATACCTAGGGAGCAAAGCAATCTCAATTCTTACAGTAATTGGTTAAATATGGGTGTATTTTGGGTGTATATGGGTGTATTTTACACCCATATTTAACCAATTACTGTAAGAATTGAGATTTTACACCCATATTTACGTGAAGTTATCTCAGCACCAAAGGTCTACCTCAGCACCTCAGCTGCTGATTGCACTTACAGAAAGGAGATTGGAAGGGGATAAGATTTATTTCTATTGTGTCTAAAGCAAAGAAGAAACCAGAACATATAATTGTGAGTATAAAAAGCTATCAGATGTTTGGTGAATTAAGACTCTCCCAAATATTTGGGGTTTTTTGTTTGTTTGTTTTTAAGATTTGAATAATACTAATGTACCAGACTGCATTCTAAATGAAGGACATAGAATGTAAATAATGGAAAAAAAAAGAAAGATTGTTCAAATATTTTTCATTTTAGCTGACATAGGATGGCAAAATGGCAAAATTTTGAGATGAACTGTCTAGTAAAAAAATCAAATAGTTTTTCTTGTATTCAGAAAGAGTGAAAAAGTTTTAGAGAAGACAGAGCCCTAAGCATGCTAGTCAGAGAATATGGCAATCGATGGATGTTATATGTCTACAAGATTTTATTTGTTCATCAGTTTCATTTTTGTTTTTTTCCTTTGAAACAGACAACTGCAAAGCTTTTGGATGGCTCACACCAGCAACATGGGTTTCTTTCTCTCACTTACACAAAGGCTGTGACAAAAAATGTGCGGCACAAACTGATATCAAGAAACGAGCGGAGAACGTTCCACAAGTTGTTGGAAGGTCACACAGATGGATCTCCTCACTTTCTTCATGAGATCCTTCTCTCTGCCCAGGCGTTTGATGTGGTCCTCTGTTTTCCTTTGCTTAATGCAATTGCAAGCATTTTTCAAGCCAGGTTGCCAAGGAGCCAAAAGGAGAAAAGAAAGTCACCAGGCCAGCCTATGAGGACTCACACACTCACCTCCCGCAATTTGCCTCTGATTTATATCAACACTGGTGTAATTAGAGTCTTTTTTCCCAAAAATGAGGAAAACCATCATAACGCAGAAGGTACCGTGTACTGTGTTAGAGACAAAGATTTGCTGTTTGGTAGACAAATATCCTTTAGTGATATCACTAACCTTAAGATACTGATACTTAGCAGCACTGCTCAGACTTTCAGTTTCTTTTGGGTTGGAAATAGAAGCCATCTATAATTCTTTCTAGCTCTACACAGAACTGGGGAAAAAGATTTTTAGATTTTCATTTGATCTCTGCTCTGCCAGCACCTACACAGTTTGTGTTTAAGATGTGAATATAAAAGCAAATAATCAAGAACTGTGGAAAGAGAAGTTAAGCCTAAATCTGTGGCTTTGGCAGTGCTGGTTCTTGTGTGTGTTCTCTTTATGCTAATACCAGCTCAGCCTTCAGCAGCCTCCTGCTGCAGTCACAGAGTACAAGAAAGGCCAGGTCCTGTGGTAACTGGCACCAGGAAACCCAGGCACTAGTGAGGCAGGTAGACAGTCCCGTTCATTTTAATCATCTCTCCCAACCTGTACCATCTGATTGGTGCCCAGCAAGAGACATACTTTTGTATTTCTGTAGTGATTCTTAGATGTCAGACTGAACTAACTGAAAAATAATCTATTATTTTACTTATTTTTTTCTCTTCATGCATAAAATCTATTTAAACTCTATTATAATGTTTATATACAAACAAATGCGGAGGGTAAATTATAGCTGGTAACAGCTAGAGGGAATGTAATCATTTCCATTACCATTATAATTCTTATAGAGATAGAAAAAATGCTTTTTATTTTATTGATATTATGATATATTTGCATGAGTTCTATAGATATGGAGAATTTTACTACCATATACAACAACACAGAATCTAATCATAGTAATGTAGATTTTTAATTTTTCTCCTAACCTATTTCCAAGAAGTGCCAATAGTCAGAATGTATTTGGATCACTTCTTTGCTAGCATCCAGTTTCAAAATGGAAATGTTAAAACAGTGAGATAAAATTTGACTGGCTGTGTTGGTAAGGAAGAATTATGATTCTAGTTGGAATGGAATTGTGGGGCATGTTGTCCAGGAAATCTTTTTTAAAGAGTATGTTTTTGTAGCTCTGCATTAAAATGAAATCAGACAAAAATGCATTGTCTGGTTGTGATCCCTCATTTGAATGGATGCACTAAGAGAACAGAATTGCCATGGTTAGGCATGAATATAGGTAGAAAAAAAACATGTATGGTTTTAAAGAATGATTCTAAGGATTAGCTTGATGATCTCTAGAGGTCCTTTCCAACCTTAACAGTTCTATGATAACCTCGCTTTCTCCTTTAGTCACTGCTGTCTCTTTTTCATATATTTATCCTGTGCTAGCTACCAAAACCATCTTTCACTTAAAAGCGCATATAATTTTGATGAAAGTACAGAATTTTAAAAGCAGGCAGATAACCTAGCTTTCTCCTTTAGTCGCTGCTGTCTCTTTTTTATATATTTTATCCTGTGCTAGCTACCAAAACTATCTTTCACTGAAAAGCGCATATAATTTCAATGAAAGTACAGAATTTTAAAAGCAGGCAAATCTACACTTGCATCCAGAAGCAAACTTGCACAAATGAACTGTAATATGCAAACACCGTTAAATAATCAAAATCATATTTTGTTTTGCTTGCAATTTTACCCACGTGCATGCACCCACATGCCATTTTAAAACCTTTTAACTTTAAAATCTTTTAGCTTCAGCAGTACCACATTAACATTTCTTTTTATGGTGGATTCTGAGGGCAACAGTCAATCCTAGTCAGAAAACAGTGGAAGAAATGCTGCTTTAAGTCAGAGTTGGATTTGTTAATATAGCAAGTGTTTTTTCAAGCCTTGGCCAACAGCTTACTCTTGCTTAGTCATAAAGAAAGACAACTAAATATACAGAAGCAATATACAGATTGGAAAAAGAAACACTGCAGAATAACCACTATAAATAGGAAAATGTAAATTGCATTAAAAAGGTGATATGAAATGCTAAGGACGGGGAATACTCACATCTGGCTGGTTTGGGGATAATAGGATTTTTTAAAATATGTATTAGGAGCAAAATATCAGGAATCACTGTTAAGAACATGATAAATTTGTTGATAGTGAGAAGGAAAAGGCAGCATGCTCAATAAACCTATATCCTGCATTTGTAAACATGATATATTCTTGTCATATGAGCATGACTCTCTACTTTGAGGTCTATCATAACATGGAATCTAACATGCTCCTTGCTTACTATTAAACCATTTCAAATCAGTCAGGCTCTAGGATCTTAATTGTCTGAAGTTCATTTTGGAATGGAAGGTTTTAGACAGCTGAAGGTATACCTATTAAAATGGCAAGTTTGCTGGTCAAGTAAAATCAAGACAGGTTGCTTTATTTGTGTCCCTTGCACAACAGCAAAAATCCACTACAGGATTCAGGTAATAAAGAATTACTTCATATTTATTCCACCATAGTCCAATATTGTTTTTATGAAACTGAGCCCTGTTAAACACACCTGAAGACACATTCTGTGTCATGATTACAAATTCCAGTTGATAAAAATTTTTGCAAAATTTCATATGCTTAGAGTTTTAAAGGGAGTTTGACATTGTGTATCATGGTATTCTGACTTTAAAATGTCCTCATGTAGGATAAGTAGAAGAGTTAAATGAATTTAAAATTGCCGACTAAAAATCCAAAAACCTGGAGACTTATAAATTAAATTGGCATTTAATAATCTGGAATTAAATATAAAACCATTGCTGCTAACACCAACACATGTGGTAAAGAATTTCCTGTGGGAAAATAGTGTTGAGGACTGCATATCCATGCACCAGTGCTTACATCACTCCTTATAGAAAATATACTTAAGATATTCAAAATGTGAAGCTATATATCAAGGAAAAGGCTATGCAGAATAACTCTTAAGGATTGGACACTTTTCTAGAAAGTAGTGCAAGAGCTGGTGTTTTTTGATGTAAAATATGAAAATACTGAAATATATACAAAGGAGATAGTGGTGCTTCTGCATATGGCAAATGGTGAGGTATCATAGGTACTCACTTGCTTTACATTATAAAAACACTAGAGGGGATGCTGAAAAGAGCCACAACTGTTAATCAAGAACTGGGAAAGACACCTTGTGAGAAGTATTAAAGGGCTGCAGTGTGTTTATCTCAACGAAAAGACAGGATGATTGGTTAAAACCAACTGAGACTGTGAGGAACTTGATTGCAGTAGGTCAGTACGTGTTTCCGAGATTGTATTTATACAGTGCAATGTAGACTTTCTTTTTCCTCAGAGGTTTAGATATTTGTAAGAAAATGACTATGGTAGTTTATTACATTTTACATGTATTTTGAAAAGCTAATGAGAGAATGCATTAATTAATGCATGGAGATACACATTGATCAAGACTCATATCATCCCTCATTTGAAATCAGTACCAAATTATAAAAATATTAATGCTTGTGAATCCTTCTGTTTTAAACTTCAGACCTACTTTCTTAACCTGCATGAAACTGCTCACAGAAGAACCATGCCCACGTTTGGAAGGTTTCCTGTGATTTCTGAAGTGTCAGAGACAAAATTCTTAACCTAGAATGTATTAAAAACTGCTACTCAGAATAGGGCATTTGCCATCTAAAACAATTAGAATGTGAATTGTATTTAGTATCTTTACTCCTTTTTCTTCTTTTTTATGTGAGTACCAGGGAAAAAAAATCCAACTTGCAAAGTGCCAGGAAATCTAATACTTAGTGCAGTGCCTCATTTATTTTTTATTTTAAATATTCAAAACATGGTTACTGATTAGTTAAAAGTAGGATTTCGTTGTCAGGTTAACTTTTCTACCTTAGTTCTGGTAACCAAACCAGCTGTGTATGATTTTGCTGTGCTTTGGGGACAGAGGAATTTGACTTCTGTTTTTAAAGAAGTTTCTTAAGGCAAACGCCTTGTATTCTCCTCTAGTTATTGTGATATAACTTGTGTTACTCTTCTGCTATTCTACCATTTCCATACAATTGTTTTGAAATATCTTATTAGAATTTCTGTGAATTCTGTGACTACCCTTTTTAAAATTATTATTGTTATAGCTATGGAGCATGATGTCTGCTTCAGCAAGAATTTAACTGATCTGGAGAAGCCAAGTTTTTAAGCTCACTAGTTTTTCCCACGTCAAGCAGTTCACTACTCAGTAAAAATATTTCCACCTTCTTTTGCTACTCACATAGTTCTCATCCTTCGTAAGGGAGCCTTGCTGGACTCCTTGTGTGTGAGAGCCCATGGGAAGGCTCAGAGCCATTCCCAAAATGTGTCCCGGGGCCGAGGCAAACTCTTCCAGCTGGGACAGGAACGGCGTGAGCCTCCCGTTCGCTGCTGCTTCCTGATTATTCGGAGGTCTCTTGAGCAGAAGCCTATCAAAATATTTCGTGGATGTGGCTGTGGCTGCTGGAAAAGAGACTCGGTAGACTTGCTCCTTCCCCAAAAGGAAAATTCATGTTTGTTTCCTACAAGAAATGCAGTGCTTTTTTTTTCTGGACAGAACTTTGGTTTTCTACCAAATATAATTAATGTTTTTAAAATTAAGAATCTATACATGTGACTGAAATTCAAATAGGGTAAAGCAGAAAGTAGAGGGTTTTTTTTTCCTTAGAATTATTTTGCTATTGCTATGGAATTTACTATCCTTTTTTCTCCCACAAAAGTATTTTGTATTTTATATGTGACAGTTTTCAGATCTTCTTCCTTTAGTCTTAAGGGTTGCAACCTCTAGAAAATTATAATATCATGCATTTTTTTGCCATTTAAAAGGACTTAGGCCCAAGTCAAAAAAAAGAATAGGCAGGATTAAAAATGCTTAACCTGTAGATATTGGAATAGATAATTATTGGAGAAACAGCCTTCTCACAGTATCACATACTGCCTTGGAATCAACATCATTTTGGAAAAAAGAAAATGATTAAAATATGTAATGAAGACAAATGAGAATAGTTTTTTCTTTTACATATAACAACAACACTATTAATTTCGTGATTTTTTTTGCATTGGTTGTTGTTCTTAAGCAGAAATGAATTGTAGCAGACATTCTTTTTTAGATTTTTTAAGGAACAGTCTTTCTATGGTTTTGCTAAATGCAATTGCCTTTTAATCAAACACATGTTTTCTCTTCACTACAGCTAATCCAGCAATTAAAGAAGATACTTTGGTTCTCAAGATTGGATCTGTCTCTACGGCTCCCCAGGCTGACAACCCTCTTAGTAGAGCTGTGCTCAGAAAAGACATTTATCAGTAAGTGTTGGGGGAGGTTTGGGGGTTTTTTATATACATTCTCAGAAAAATTCATTTTGGGAAAAGTTAATTGATCAATAAAACAGGGGTACATGCAGCCTGTAAAAATACTTTTCACATACAATCTTTTGATATTCAAAACCAGGTTTTTCTGATTTTCTTCACTTGTGGGCTTTCAAATCCATTTAGACAAATCAAGTTCTTCTGTGAAGTGCTGATGAATAACAGAATTTAAATGTCAAGTCATTATGAAGCTAAAGCTCACAGATGAAAACATTTTAAGAGGCTTTCTTTTACTCAGCTATTACCAAGTTCACCTAAAAAAAAAAAGGCATTTTTTTTGTGACTACCAAAGTGCTCAGTAGCCATATAGTGTGAAGGAGATAGATCTTAATAATATAAATGGTAAACATATATTCAAGCTGTAGCATTCTTCATGTCAAATAGATCAAAGCTGTAAAGGAAAGCAAACTTCTGAGGAGCTCTTTCCCAGTAAACACATTTTCTGTGAAAATGTCATGCTCTGGATTGTGTCACTAAGTATGTGCAAACCACACTAATCATATAGAGGCAGCAAAACTGGTGAACATATGTAATCAACATGATAAAAGTAATATATGATCCTTAGTAGAGTTGGCACTGTTGCCAGACATGAAAGTAGGGTTGCAAATAATACCAAGTGAGAAAAGTCACAGAAATACAGATGAACAAGTGTCTTATACTTCCCGTTGGTCTGTTTTTCAGATGTGGCAATATTTTTAAGTACTTCGTAGTGCTCTTCAATAGAAATTACAAACATCAAAATCTTTTCCCAGCAGTAAAACATTTATTGCCTAGAAAATGACAGAAAGTTTTACTTTTTGTCAAGACTAGGAATTTTAAGGAGACCGTGAAATATCTCCAGTTTCTCTTCTGATCACTTAGAACTTTTAAGAGAGTCTTTTTATTCATATTTCCATTTGGAAATATTTAAATAATTGCATTTTCTTTTATGTTTAGTAACAGTAGTTTTCTTAAAGGAAAAAAAAGAGAGGGACATGTATCTGTTGTCATATTAAGGAGCTTTCATGGAAGAAATCGTGCATCTGGACAACAGCAACTGCTTTGGATGGCAAGGGTGAACCAATTCTCAACGTGCTCACAGATAAGAGAGATCTTCCCGATATTTGTGCTGGTTCCTTCTGCTTCTGCCCTCTCTGTGTGAGGAGGCGTCCATCTGTTTTCTGGTTTGCAAGTTACAAAACCAAATTCCAATCTCCTTCCCACAGCAACCAAAAATCTGTCAAGAAATCCCCTATCATAACGTGAAATCTGCAAGTTCTAGCTTCAGTAATGTTTCCATCACCTAAGGGGAACTGTGCAATGTTCCTTGTATACATGTTACAAATCAGTGAGTGAGCAATGGGAATGATACGATTTCCATTAAAATTGAGGAAGAAATGCCAGTTTACATTTCTGAGTCTGATATCTTCACATCTGCAGCTTCATCTTAAATGCTGAAATTTTGTGCTTCCCAAACTGGAGGTCACTTAAGGATTGCTTAAGGATTCTGCTGTTCTTTTGCATTAGTGCTCTTCTTTTTTTACATATATAAAAGTTCTGGATTAGGTTTGTGTATGGTGGGCTTTCACCATTTCATACAGTTAGGATATGTTTCAGTCTTCCTCTGGAAATCGGTTGCCGAACGGGTAAGGTAAAAAAAGCACTGAGGCACAGACATCATCTGATAGTTATTGGCTTCTCTGTGCCCAGCTTCACAATATCGTGCTGTGTTTATATAAAGATTTCAACAGAAATGCCTGCCATTTTCAGTGTTTTCCTCTAACTGCTTCTGTGAGAGTTGTTCTCATTTCTCAGCAGCTGTCAAAGTTTTATCTCTGTTCCTTTAATCATCCAATTATTCTGGCTTCAGTGTTTTTAAAAAACATTGGGGCTGAGTGTCAAGTTTCTTTGCTGATTTTTATGAGACAATATTGCAGTTGGTGGTGGGTGGTCTTTTGGTTTTGAGAAGAGCATTGCTGTTTTCATCTGTTTAAGCGAAGCTCAACACTTTCTAGCAATATAAATTAATTAAAATTAGCAGCAGAGTTCATTTCAATGCTTTTCTTTTTTTCTTTGGAAAGTAAGATATACTACAAAGGTTTTGTATTTTTAGGGCAGAGCACACATATTCACATTCAAGTCAAAAAAAAAATACAGTGGGGCCTTCTTATTACATGGGCTGGATATTAGTATAACAGATTTGATAGCTGTGCAGTGTTTACCCTTTTAACCTGCCACAGTGGATGAAACTACGCAGAAAAAAGCATAATTGGAGAATTCTAGTGCAAATAAGGAATACTTAAAAGTCAAGTAGCTAAATGAACAAACCTTTGGCCTGTGTAACCCGTGTGTTTTGCTGAAGGATTTGTTAGTACAAATCACCAGAGGTGCAAGCAGTACAATACCAGCTTGAGAGAAAAAAACATACAGCAGCCTGTTGATTACTGAAGAATTAACTGCCACAGTGTTCTAATGATCCCAACATGTCATCTTCTCTCTTTTTCCAACCTCTCTTCTCCTCTAATTTACTACTGCTGCTTTTAATAGAATATAAGAAAATAAATCATTGTCTGAACCACTGTCTTTACAGTGTTTCTGGAGTGGGGATACAAGCTTAATTTGTGGTGTCACTTTGGTTTAAACAGTCTTCTGTTTAGGTCTGAGCTACAACCACATGTAATTAATGTCACTTTGGTAGTGTTTCATGAGAAAGAAGAATTTTTGCTTCCCATTTAGAAACTCTTCTTTTAGGAAAGGCTGAGAAATTTCTTCCTGGTTAATGGCTAAATAGAATTTCCAAATGGCTTTTGAGGGCAGCCCATAAATTTATGAAAAATACTGAATGTGTTCATTTATCATTAACTGAATGCTAGTGCCTGCAAGATAGATCTGGTATGGCTACAGGTCATAGTAAATAAAACTGTGGACTGCTTTTGGCCTGTGAGCAGCAGTGGCTCCATCCATGTCTTAGGAAAAAGTAGCTTACTTGCTTGACTTGGAGAGAGAACTAAATTGAAAATGGAAAGTTGGAAAAATAACGTGCCCCAAAAGTTTGGGCACAAATATTTTTTCAGGTGAATATTGGAAGCTGGAAAGAAATGTATTGACACAGTAAATTCAGTTTTTTACCATGTAAAAGGTAGTTTAAAAATAACTATTTCCTCCAGGACAAAATTGTCTTGTTTATTTAAAAAACCATAAATACACACAGTAAATAAAGATGCACACACCATAAACCAAAGTACAGGTCTCCTGAGAGAAGCACCGCTACATTTTTTTAGCTGTAAGAGACAATTTCTGCTTTTTAATTTGCTTGCTCCTAAATCCTAGCAATTTGTCTTAATGATTTCACATGTATTTCTGATTCTTAGTCCCCAGCTAATGTTTGTCTCCAGTAAGGAGGATCAGAGTCATACGCTCCTCGTAAGGGACTGGCAGTTCTGTGGAGTGGAACATTATCAGAAACACGGGCAGTTCCACCTCCATGTGAGGAAGAACTTCTTTCCTGTGAGGGTGACAGAGCCCTGGAACAGGCTGCCCAGAGAGGTTGTGGAGTCTCCTTCTCTGGAGACCTTCAAACCTGCCTGGATGCCACCCTGTGCCACGTGCTCTGGGCACCCCCTGGGAGCAGGGGTTGGACTAGATGATCTCTAGAGGTCCCTTCCAACCTCAGCCAGTCTGGGATTCTGTAATCCCTGATCAGGAGGCCTGGGGACAGGACAGGAGAGTCAAAGAAGGGAGATTTGGGGCACGTTTCACAGGAGGCCCTGCCCAGGCTGGCTGGCAAGAGAGGGAAGCTCAGGCCCTCGCAGCGGAGCAGGAGTTGGACCATCAGAGTAAGTGGGGTGCCTGCCAAGTGGTACAGGAGAGGATGGTGCTTGGGTAGGTTTCAGGCATCCCATCATGCTGAATCTGGGGTCGAGAGGTCTCTGCATGGAGATGATCACAGCAGCAGATCACAGAAAAACAGGATGACGAGTTCACCCCTTAGCTTGTGTCTTTGTGCTGTGTATGGTCACCAGGAGCTTTGGAAATGGCCACTTTTGACCACGTTTATTCGAACTTCCTCTGTTCTGTTAGTTTTTGTGAAGAAAGGTGTCTAGGTAGAGAAATCCTGTTAATGTCCTTACTGAATGAAAGTCAGCCTGTTATTTTATGTCAGAGAAATCATATAGGAAGGAAATATTATAATTGTTCTAATTACAGTAAAAACAAGTGTCTCACTGGATGCCAGAGAGGGCCTTTCTCAGTCTTTTGCATTCTCTTGTTTGGATTTTCTGCTGTCCAGTAAGATAAAAATTGCATTTGAAGTATTTTACTTCATAAAACTGTCTCGTGTATGAATATTTTTGGTACCTAACACCAAATGCTTCTGAAAAATACGCTTCTGCTACAGTGGGAGTGTAAGGAAATTAAGAATTTGAACTATATGCCAGCTACACAGAGACATCCAGGAGTTGTAGTGCTTGTGCCAGTGTTCGTTCATTTTGAAGAATATCACTAAAGATCTCTTCTCAGACACAACACCATTATTCAAGCTTTTATTTTAATTTGAAGCACATCTCAGAAAGCTTACATATTTAATTTTATATGGGATCTGCTTAAAGCAGCCTTGTGCATTCTTTTTCCAACTCTGTTGCAAAAGTCAAAGGGAAGCATAGAATCACTGCAGAAGTTAGAAGGGACTTTCCTAATCATCTAGTCTTGCTTCTCATTCAAAACAGCCAGGCACAAATTCTGTTTGGAAACATTAATTACTAGTATTTTAGGGAATATGTGTGAATAGATAGACTAAAAAAATAAAATGTTGAATCAGTATTGATAAACCATAAAGCTCTGGAACTACAGATGAACAGAGCCATAAGCTTTCCTCAGCTTGGCCATTAAGGAATCTAACTTTTGTCCAGTCTCTTTATTTATCATTTTTGAGATTCAAGGATTTAATTGCTGCCATATAT